TTCTCCCCCGCAGAACCCGCCCCCACTCACTCCTCCTCCGCCTCCAGCGCCACCTCGTATCTCCTCAGTCCCGACATGTCTCGGGCTCCGAACGTCTCCTGGGGGGCGGAATGATCGGATCTAGTCCTCCCCAGCCCCCGGCCCCCTCCTCGGTCATCCTCCGGAGCCGTGTGACCTGCTCTCGGGGCACCTGAGGCAGGTGCCCCCGGGGAGGCTCAGCTGCACATCGGGGCGGGGTGGGGCTGAAGGTTTCGGAGGCGCGAGACGTTATGGAACTAGGAGGTCGGTCGCCGCAGGGGCCCGCGGCATTTAGGGGGTCAGGGCGGCGGGCTTTGCGGTCATGGGGTTGGGATATCTGGGGCCCCGGGTGAGGATTTTCGGGGGCTGGGTCACCTGGAGGGGGGCTGAGGGGTCGGCGCAGCCCAAACTCCGCCCTCCCCGGCTCCTCCCCGGAAACAGACCGTTACCGTGACGTCACAGGGACTCCACGCACCGGGGGCGGGGCTCCCTTTGCCCGGAAGGGGCGGGGCTAGAGCATTTCTTCAGAGGAGGCGGGGTCGAAGTGTCACTAGGAGGTGGAGGCATTTATCGCCAAGATGCGAGGCTCTGGAGTCTCTTTTATAAAAGGATGGAGTCAGATTTTGGAGTTCTACCCTGGGAGATGGAGACCTCAGAAATAGGCAGCAAGAAAAGAGCTTTGGGGAGAGGGATAAAAAGGGGGGGGATGGGAGATATCTGTAATATTATCAACAATAAAAAATATATATTAAAAAGAAAGAAAAAAGAAAAGAGCTTTGAGACGCTGTCAAGCGCTGTTTTCCTCAGTTCCCTCTTCTCCTCTCAATCTCCTTGGCTTCTGCCCTGACGATGGCCTTTCTTGTCTGCCCTGTTCTGCTTGTCCGACCCCAGGCTGAGGAGGAATAGGCCTCCAGAGAGGGCTAAGTCTAGACAGGCCAGGCTATGAAAATACTTATCGGATGAGTGGCCTTGGCTTAATGGCCTGAGGGTCAAAGCCCTTCCTATCTGAGCTGCGACCTACGTTCCTGTGATATTTGTTCCTACAGTCATTCAGTCAACAAATATTTACTGAGTGTCTGCTCCATGCAGGCACTGCTGGGTGTGGGGATACAGCTGTAAAGAGGACAGGCACGGCCCTGGCTGGTGTGGCTCGGCTGGAGCATTGGCCTGTACACCAAAGGTGGCAGGTTTGATTCTCGGTCAGGGCGCATACCCAGGTCGGTGTGTGCAGGAGGCGACCGATCAATGTTTCTCACATCAATATTTCTTTTTCCCTTCCTCTCTCTAAAATAAATTTTGAGAAGAAGAAGAAGAAAGGCACAGTCTCCACCCTCAGAGGGCTTCTCATCTGGGTTGGAGATGGGGTGGGTGGGATTGAAATAGACAATCAGATAATTACAATAAATCTGGAAGGCTGGCTAGGAGCAGTAGAGGGTGCTGTGACAGAGCCCAGAAAGAGCAATTAGCCAAGTGTGGGAGGTTGGAAATAGCTGCCCCAGATGGTCTTTGGAGGGAGGACAGGAACTTTGTCGCTGGACTGTAGGAGAGAGAGAGTGACTAGAAACGAGTGAAGTGAAAGTTCCCTCAGCCTGAAGTGTGGAGAATGGAAACATCTGCTCTCTCCCTGCATCCCACCCTTCCTCCCTCTCATACCTGGCTTGCCTTGCCTGGGCCACAGACAGGTGACAGATAGATGTGTGGGTGCCAGTTGGGCTTTACTGGAGCATTGCAGTCTGGTGTGGAGGAGAAGCTGTGCTCCAGTCATACCCTCACACACTCACACTCACACTCACACTCACACTCCAGGCCCTGCCCAGCTTTGTCAGGTCTGGTGCAGAGGAGCTGATGGTCTGGTTCTCACTTCTGGTCCCCGGGGCAGCAGTGGTTCACATCCCTTCACTCGGTCACAGGGCTCCTTCTGGAGCTCTCATGGGCTAAATGCTGGGCACTTGTTCTGGGGGAGGAAGGAGTGGCAAAGTTATGGGCTGGAGTCTTGGGCAGGAGCTCAGAGGGAGGAGGCAGGGCTGGAGAGGGCAGGCTTTGCCTTGGCAGAGTTCTGCAGTCTCTGGCTGTGGTCCCCCCAGGGCTGGTCTGGGGTGTGCCTGCTCCAGCATGATGAACCTGGAGTCAGAGGTTGGAGAGAATAGAGCAGCTCTGAGCTCAGTTTCCCGGAAGGCCTGGGTGTGTAGGGTAGAAACTGAGGACCACATTCTAGAAACCCATTTCAGGGGCTTCCGTGTGGGAAGAGGCTCAGCAAGGTGTGGAGGAGAAGCTGTGCTCCAGTCATCCTCAAGGGGAAGAAAGGTAAGATGGTGGTAAAAGTGGTGAATAGGAGAGGAGGAGACAGGTTACTTTCCACCCCCCACTCACAGGAGAACAGTGCCTGGCAGCCAGTCCTCAAGGAGGAGATAGGAACAAAAGACACCACAAATGTTCTCAGGAATTGGGTATTGGTTCACCAAGAGACAGTGTCCTCAGGGTTGGGGCACACAGAACTGGGAGCGAGTGGGTATTAGTGTTAGGGCTTGAGGGACTATAAGGTGGGGGAGCGCATAGCCCTGACTAAATTCAGGATCCCTGTGTCCAGTGCCATAGCTTTAGTGTTTCTCTCTCCTCCTCCTCCCAATGTACACTGTTCTCTTTTCCTCTGGAAACCAAGCTAGAGGAGACAGAGCCTCCAGTGAGAAGGACAGCTAGAGGCCTCTGGACCCATTCAGGCACTGACACGTACAGGAACACCTGGGGCACAGGCACATCTACATCACATAGGTACTCACAGCACAGAAGCCCATGTATAGATTGTATAGGAATACACACGATGCACAGGTATACCCACAGTACATAGAGACACACAATCACAAGGGCACATCCATTTGGTAATGTGTACTCTCAGGTTCATGGACACACTTGGATCTGGGTGTTGACTTGAACTCACAGTCCCCTTCACAGACTCCCAGATCGAAGCTGTGCCCCTCATCTGACCATTTACCCTCTATCCTTTCCAAGGGAGACCTAGAAATCAGCATGCTGAGGAGAGGAGCGGTGCTGTGCAGGAGGCCATGGGGGACAGCTAGAGATGGACAAATGTGCAGAATCTTTGGAAGCAGTGAGTGTATGGGTTGTGAGAGTCTTTCTGCTTGTGTGGAGCCTGTGTGAGACTGTGAGGCTGGATGGGGGAGAACAGGCAGAAGAATGATAGTGAGGGAGTCCATGATGGTCCTGTGACTGTGTGTGTGTGTGAGCCTGTGTGAGGCTGTAGATGTTGTCTATTTATGGCCCTCTGAAGCTTTCATTCTTTATGTCCAGGAATTTCCTCCCTTCTGTTATATGATACTAGAGGCCCAGTGCACAAATTCGTGCACAGGTGGGGTCTGGCTGGCCCGGCCCCAATTGGGGTGGATCAGGCTGGGCCTATTGGGAGGAGGAGACAAGGGGTTGGCCAGCTGGTCTGCCCTGATTGGGCTGATCAGGGCCAGGCTGTCTGTGGGAAGGAGCAGAGAGCAATTGGCTGGTGGGCCCTGCCCTTGTTTGGGGTGAGGGGGACTGATCGGGAGTCAGTGGGTGAGGGAGGGGCTGCGGGAGGTTGACCAGCTGGCTCCACCCCTGATGGGGCTGGTTCGCTGGCCGCAGTGGGCATCATAGTGACCCGTCGTTCTGGTTGTTACAGCATTCCAGTCGCTGGCTTTTTATATATATAGGTAGGATTTCACTGGCCTTTGTCCCTGGTTTCTGGGCAAGAGACTCTAAATCTTTTGAATTTTCCAAGTAATAGGAGTGTCTTTGTTATTTTGAGCCCCTTGGATTACACCTGAGTTTCTGCTAGGAGATGAGATGACTTAGGATGGGGGCTCATCACTGAAAGATCAACTATGTCCTTGGAGAATTGGGGCTTTGAGCCAGCCCAACCTCCAAAGAAGGGGGCTGGAGATTGAGTTCAGTCATGTGGCTCAATGATGCCTATGTAATGAAATCTCAATAAAAACTCTGGACACCAAAGTCCATGGAACTTCCTGCTCGGTGAATGAAACAATGTGCTGAGAGGGTGATGTGCCCTTCATGTCTCCAAGAGGAGAGAGCATTTAAGGCTCTCTCACAATTCACCCTGTGCGTCTTTTCATTTGGCTGTTTTTTAAAAATATATTTTTATTGATTTCAGAGAGGAAGGGAGAGGGAGAGAGAGATAGAAAAACAATAATGAGAGAGAATCATTGATGGGCTGCCTCCTGCACGCTGCACACTGGGGATCTGAGCCCACAACCCAGGCATGTGCCCTGACAGGAATCGAACTGTAACCTCCTGGTTTATAAGTCGACGCTCAACCACTGAGCCACACTGGCTGGGTTCTAGCCACCTTTTTCTTAAGTCCACCACTCAGGACATTGCCCTGTTTCTCAGATGGCTTTTCAACCTATTTCTCCCAAACAAATACTCCTTTCTAGGAGAAAAGATTGTGTCCATGTGTGAGTGTGTGTCCGTGTGCCCATGTCTGCGTGTAATTGTGTCTGTGTGTCTGTCTATGTCCTTGTATCTGTATTGTGATAATGTATCTGCGTAACTATCTGTGCTGTGTCCTTGATGTATGTAAATGATCATGTGATTATCTGATTGTGTGTACAGACAGGTAGGCGGATTAAGGTGTTGGCCTGGCCAGGGTCTTTTAACGGGAGCTTGCCAAGAGAGTGAAATAGATGTGTGTGTGTGTGTGTGTGTGTGTGTGTGTGTGTGTGTGTGTTCAGTCCATCACTTTGTGGCTCTCAACCTCATAGGGCCGGCAGGGGGCATCCAGTGCAAAGGGAAAAGAGGATGTGAGACTCCTGGGCTGTGGAAGCAGGGGCTCTGGCCTTGTTCCAGAAGTGAGCTGGAAATGAATAAGAAAACAGATGAATCAGCTCTTGAAAGTCCCTGACCCTGGGAAGAGGTCTGCTTCTTTTTATCCCAAACTTCTGTCTACCAGAGTCTCCTGGCCAGCCAGAGGGGCAGCCAAGCCAGAGTGTGGGTAGAACATTGCACAGGACTTCAGAGGTGACTGGACATCAGAATGGAGGAACTCTTGAGCAATAGTACACCCCCCTTCCCCACCTACCCCCTGGAGCTTGAAGTAAAATCATTGCCAGGGGTTCCTTAACCCCTCTACTTCCTGCAATTTGGGCCACTCTGGATCCCAGGGGTCCTGGGTTTGGACTGATCTTGCTTGGGAGAAGTGCAAGAAACAAGGGTCCTTGAACCCAAAGCAGTAGGTGACCTATGTGGCTGGACATGAGGAGCCCTGGAGACTCAGAGGGAAGGTAGAGAAGGCTTCATGGAGGAGGGAGCCCCGCAGAGCCTTGAAGATGGGTGAGGCAGGAGGGAGGACATTCCAGGTAGAATGAACAGGAAGCAAAGGCTCAGAGGAAGGACAGGGGTCTGTGACTGACCCCAGTGTGGGTGAGGCAGGGGAAGGGTAATTGGTGAAAGAAGCTCTGTGTATGGGGGTAATCCCTGGGGTACTTGGGGCACTTCCTGATGATGCCAGGCCCAGTGGTCAAAGTTAATGGAGCCGAAACTGGTTTGGCTCAGCGGATAGAGGGTCGGCCTGTGGACTGAAAGGTCCTGGGTTCGATTCTGGTCAAGGGCATGTACCTGGGTTGCGCGGACACATCCCCAGTAGGAGATGTGCAGGAGGCAGCTGATCGATGTTTCTCTCTC